ACATGTTCAAATAACTTCTTAGGAGAAAGAAGGTCCACAGGAGGTAAACTTTCTGAGTACTTTAAGTCCTGAAAACAGGTTTATTGTCACCACTACCTACTTGATAGTATGCTTAGAAATAGAATACTAGAGTAAAGTATATTTTCTAAGGATTTGAGGGCATTTATACATTGATGTTTAGGATCCAGTATTATGAATAAGAAGTCTGATGCCAGTCTGATTTGTAGATGACTTTTGCCTTATCCTCAAAAAATTATAAGGTCTCTTTTTAATCCTTATTATTCTAAAATTTCTTGAGGATATGTTGAGTGTCCTTGTTTATTGAATATATTGGACACACAAAACACATTTCTTTTTCATTAAAAATACAAAGAAAAAATAGTATTTTTTTTTTGTATTTATACATAGGTCCACAATTTATACATAGATTGTGGATCTATGTATAAATCATCCACAATTAACAGCAACAATTTTGTATGGCCCTCAAATGATGTTATAAATATCTAAATGACCCTTGGCAGGAAAAAAAGTTCCCCACCACTGCTATAAAGGTATGTATCCAAATAATATATAGTATTGTTTCACATGTTAAAAATTATATAAATGGTACTGTATCTTTTTACAAATTACTTATTTGACTCAACATTAGGTTTCTGAGAATTGTCTAGACTGATCTAGAGATCTAGTTCACCACTTTTATGCTTTATAAATTCTGTTATATAAATATATGACATATTACTTATTCAAAAACCTACATTAAACATCAACCTTTCAGTAAGCTGAAACATCGACCATCAAAATCAGCAACAAGACAAGTATGCACTCTATCATTAATACTGATATTCTGGAGGTCCTTGACAGTGCAATGAGATAAGAAAAAGAAATGAGCTATAAAACACTGAATAGGAAGAGATAAAACTGTCATAATTTGTAAACTATGTTAGCCAACTTAAAAAGTTAGAAAGAAAACTCAGGCAAAACAATAAAATTAATATGAGGGTTTAACAAAGAAACCTACTGTAAAATAGCAATCCTACATCAAGGGCTTTTATACAAACCAGCATTAATTGTTTTCTATTAAATTTATTTTTGAATGGGAAATGTGTGTGTGTGTGTGTACAAAATTCACAAGGTACAAAAGAGAAAAAGAAAAATGAGACATTTATTTATTTTTCTGAATGCGATTTTTTCTAAATGAAAAATCAATACGTATGCAAGGAGCCAAAAAATGCTATGCTTTTCTTTGTGTATCCTTATAAAAAAATATATATTACAAAATGTAAAATCATATAATATAATATATAATGCAATAACATATACAATACTTAAAATAAGAGTCACAACACAGGTAATTTAAAAATTTAGATTGATCAAATATACCACTGAAAAAATCGAGGGAAGAGTTGAGAGAAACCACTGCATGGCAATAGCCATATTTCAAATGTGGTTAATGGATACCATATGGATAGCAAGTCTATACATAGAAAAAAACTTGTTTTTCTCTCTCACAAATAAAGTAATTTTGGTGAGGGAAGAAACCAGTCCCCAGTTTCCAATGGTGTGAAATAAGAAGGGTGAGGGTTCCTACATTTTCTGTGGGCCAGAGTATGTCCTGAGAAGGAACCTGGGGCACAGGCTTGCTCACAAGCACCAACACACCCCTCCCTGCCAACACACCCACCACCTGTCATAGACCACCCAGGAACCTGAAGTTCCTAAATGAGAGGTTCCTGGGAGAAAGGGGTGTGCCTCAAGAGGGACATCAACACCAGGAGGCCACAGGAGGGATGCTTGACTGGGTGCATGAGGATCCCAGAATGTACTACTCTGCAGCATGAGGATGGAGTGATAAATGATGCTGGGTTAACTGGTTATCCATTTTGAAAAAAGAAGTAAATTTGGATCACTACATGCCAAAGAGTGGAGGGAAGTGATAGAGTGTGAGGTGGTGCATGCAGCATGTGTAGCAGACAAGGGCTTGGCCAATCTTCTGCAAGACTATGCTGGGCTCCGGAGCAGCGCCCGTCTGGATCCCAGACCAATCAGTGGCCCTTAGAAGGGAGTGGGGAGCCAGTCCTCCACACAGCTGTCATTCTTAGCTAAATGGTGTTATGACAACTTCGAGATTGACTTGGTGAGGGCTGTGCCTGTGCATGGGTGGCACTTCAAAGTGAAGGGATTGTGGTTGAAACTGCTTTCAGAGAGGCACACAGGGCCACGGTGAGGCTGCAGTTTGGGACTGGATGTATGAGCTGGGAAGCTGGATGTCTGCAATCTTGCATGCACCTATGGTGGGCTGGGGGGG